AAATTGAGGTTTTGTGCTTAGTGGTTTAATCCCTTTGGGGGTTTATTACCAACGGCATGAGGTCTTTTTCATGCCTAAAACAACTTTTGGTTTGGACTTTCTTTCCATTTAGAGGACTTAATTCACCATTTGGACTTAATGTGATTAAAGGATGGTTGGTAACTAAAATGTGTAAACAAAATTGATAAGTAAAAGAGGCAACATAATCATTTCTTTGTGTTGCATTGCATGTGTTCAAATTGGACATTAGTTTGAGCACAAGGAAAATGGGACATTTCATACTCAAAAGTGATGAAATGTGCCACTTTCCTAGGTCCCCATTGCCCTTGATCATGCATGATAGGATGATGGTTCTTGAGTGTTTGGCTTTGCATTTATTAAGCTTGCACACTTTGAATCACAAGCCATCATGCAATGAAATTGCTTTGATTGGTGGATTGTGATTTCAGTTCACAATTCCTTGGATTTGTCCATGAAGAAGAGAGGTGAATTATGCATACAATCCTTGGAAAAACTCTCTTTTTGCTCTGTTTGTACTCTGCTGCATCATGGTGATCCAATGCATCAGTGGCCGACAATGCACCGTTGGTGGCCGGCAGTGCACTATCAGTGGCCGGCAACATCCATCCATGGCTGGCAGGCCACTGATGTAAACTTCAATTGATTTTGGTAAGATGGAGCAGAAAGGTTCTGGAAATGCTCAACCCTGCAAACACCCTGCAAACAGTGGCTTTCGAGAGCAAAATGAAAGTTTTTTCGGGCCAAAACCAAGCTTGTGCATTCTCCACTCCCCGAGGCGAAGCAGTGGCAGCATAGTTTGATGTCTTAATTGCTTAGTTCATGTGCATTTGTGTTGTTAATTAATTAACTAGCGTACTAGTTAGTTAAAAGTGTTGTAAATAATTAGTAACTAGCTTAGCTAGTTATTCATTTGGTTTATAATAATTAGTCTAATTAGTTTAATTAGATTAGCTCAATTAGCTTAGCTTAGTTACTAGTTAGTTAGCTCTTATTCATACGGACCCTCCTTTGCAAGGGCGTAATGTTGTAATAAGTGTGAGTGTGTGCGTGTATGTTTTCCAACCCCATGACTTTCTCCCTTTTATTTACTTGCTTTTGATGGTTAGATTAGGGATATGTTTCAATTAGCATGCCTTATGCTTGCTTCCATTCATTCGTATTGCATGCACCGAGGCTTGGCGCATCATTCAAACTGCATTGCAATTTCAAATAATTCTTTGAATACGTGTTTAACAACATGTTATCAAATCGATTCATATGCCATATTAGTAGCCAAGCCTATTAATTGCAGTCTTTGCATGTGTTGCATTAGACATTTTCCATAGATAGGAGTCATGCATATTTTTCTAACTCATATCTTCTCGACTCGGAGTACTAGGTGAGTTTTTATGCTTTAGCATACTTGCATGAATGTGAATGTTGCCATGATTAGAATGCTTGCTATGAGGCTATGTGCTTAAATGATAAATTGAATGAATGCATGTGGATGAAAGCTTGCTGTTTGAATTGGAACGAGTCAACGAATGTGTGTTTTAAGCCCACATTGTTGAGTGGCAAATCATGTTTTAAGCCCACTATGTTCGGTGGCAAATCTACAAACTTTAAGCCCACTTGAGGTGGCAAATTCAAACCATTTTTGCAAACAAACATGAGTTGAATTGTTCCAAATTGAGCAAACTAGTCTATACTTGATTGTACGTATCACATAGTAATGCTAGTTTAATAATGAGAACAAGAACACATAATGTTTATAAGAAACCATATCATGATTAGTATAGGCCGATCTTTGATCGGGCAAGCAAGGGTGCTCAATTCATGACTTTCCCCTCTTGTACCCAAGTTCCCGAGCCGAGGCTACTTTGGTGATGACGGACACATGGCCTTTGGCACGAGTCATGGGTTTCCTAAATTTTTTCAAAAATAAAATATTTAGGTGGCGACTCTGTATCTTGCAAAGCAATCCAATTTTGGCACTTTTTGATTCAAAATCAATTTTTCAAAATGATTTACCAGATTTGGACTCTTTGGTGTTTATCAGTTCCACATTACACTTGTGAGATAAGATTCAGAACCGTAGGAGTCCAAACTGTAGAGCTTTGTTTTCAAACCTTCCAAAAAATGAGGGGGGGTGAAAAAGCCGAGTTATAGTTTCTGGCAACTTGTTGGGGACTTAGAGAACTTGACTCGAAATTATGATATGTTATTTTATTTACACTTATGTGTTTCTTTGCATTTGCATTTGCATCGGTGCGCCTAAGTCACAGTGTTTGCCATCTACTATTGCTAAACAGTTGGCTGGAGGCTTGCATGGAAAAGCTTTCCAAAAGGCTAACAGGTTGTGGGCTCTGCCACGATGGGAACACAACCCTTGGATCTGCATTACCGCTGTACCATTTGATCCTCCTTTCACTTCTCGATGTTAGGTGTGAGATGTATATTAGCTAGTTTTGCTGAGGTACCCTTTTTGACCAATCGACCTAGTTGCGTATTGAAAGCCATAGAGACTGTTCCAAACTAGGATATGTTGCTTACCCGAATTTAGGATTGTGTGAAACACTTTGCCTGAATAGCAAACCCTAGTTCCTGATGAAACTAGGACTGGGTGACCCTACCCCATCATAGAGGTGTTTTGGCTCTCACTTAATTGTTATGTTCCTTTAGAGTGAAACTCTATAGGAATGTATGTATCAGTCGCAAGTTTGGGCATCGATTTTGGGGTAGAAATCAGTGTTGAGTACAGTTCTCCAGCTTATGATTGCAACTGCATGTTGTCTGTGTCTGAGCTGAGGTGCTATGCGGTTTTTGATTTTTTCTTTCTTTTCCTTTATTTCTTTTTTGTGAGGTAGTTTTTCATCATTGCTTCAGAAGATTTTGTTACCCACCAAGTACTCTGGACCCGTGTAAGAAGGATTTGTAGACCCGTGGATCTTGTTAGGAGACAACCAATGTTTGTTTCACTCCCACCGGTTACTAGACGGAGAAGGATCAGGAAGAATTCACCAATTTAGCAGTCACCTTTTGCTTTCCATGTGCCTAGTCAGGTCCAGTCTTCTACTTCTACTCCAGAAAGAGATTATTCGCCAGTTCTGATAGCTTAACATTCTCCAGTCAGGATGGAAGATATGCTTCATCAACTCCAGTAGACCATTAAGACTATGCTGCTAGATGCTGCCCACCAAGCTGAGGTCGCAGCCCGCCAAGCAGAAGTAATAGACAGGCTTCAGCAGCAGTAACCCCAACCGGTAGTAGCCTCTGCATCCCATGCACCCCTAGCGGGTATGGCGGCACAAGGGGTCACAATTAACGTCCAAGAGAATATGGGCATTCTGGTAGATCTGATCCCACCCCAGACCTCCAAGGCACTAGTGTACCAAACGGAAGCGCCATTTGAATTCTAGGTTGACCCCACTACACTAGCGGTCAACAAGCTAGAAAAGCTTTTCAAGTGGGCATAGGGCGTGAATTCAATCCCTGACATTGAGAATGGGTACATAGACTTCGCAGTAACTCTACCGAACCGATTCAAGATGCCGCACATAGACCAGTTTGACGGCTCCGGAGATCCTATGGTCTATCTACGGTTATTTTCTGATATCCTATGACCAATGGGTCTCACCAGATTATAGAAATTGTCGCATTTTAGCCATACCTTGCCGGGCATAGCGGCCGTCTGGTGCGCAAGTTGGAAGACTCCGTGAAATGGAATTAGAAGGAAATGGCCGAGGCCTTCATCGCGCAGTACTCTTAGTTCAAATCCCCAATTTTGTGCTCCCTCTCTCTCTCTCTCTCTACAATCGGCTCACTCTCTCTGTAGAGTGTTTATTTCAAATTTTTGGCTACAAGGAAAATGAATATAAGTGTAATTAGGCCCTTATATAAGCTTGCCTAATCAAATTTGATTAGGACTAAGCAATGGTGCTTAATTCAATCAGTTTAAACTAATTAATTCGTTCCGAATTGGTTTTCAATTAAATTTTACCGTAGGCTCTAAAAATCATGCCAATCACAATAATATAGTCAATTTCAGTTTCTGAAACCTCTACGGTCCTAAATTTTCAAGTTATCGCAATAAGTTGGACAAATTTTCCTCCAGTGAACATATATAGTTTCAAACACAATAATCACATAATTACCACTAAAAATCATATTGAACATATAATCACAATTATAATTAAGATTAATTAGCATAACACGGGACAAAGTTATCACACCCTCACTACTGATATACTATCTAGGGTGACATCCATAGTTTGTTCAATCATCACACAACACAAATACCCTTGACATTCTTTCTTGAGTAATTTACAAGCTTTCATTGCAGAAATCAAATAAGGTGGAGGTACCACTCCATTACCCAGAAAACACAATTTCATCATGCTGTGGAGGTCTAAACAAAACTCGTTTCATTACACAATCAATAGTTGCACAACGTTTAGACATCCAGTCCATTCCCAAAATTACATCAAAGTATCCAATATCAAGAGGCAGTAGGTCCACAAACAATATCACACTATCAACATGTATTTCACAAGCACGATAAACAGATGAACATAAAATAGGTTTCCTAGATGGGGCGGACGCACACAACATATAAGCTAATGATTCTATCGGCCTATTTAATCTATGTTCAAACACGGAAGAGACAAAGGAATGCGTCAAACCCGAATCAATTATCACATATGCATCTTGATTACAAATAGGGAGAGCACCTAAAACCAAAGCCTCAGTATTTTAAGAATCCCTAGTTGAACTCATAGTACCATGATTCCCAGTTCAACGTAGTTGTGTACAGTCCTTTGCAACGTGCCCGTCTTTCCACAGTGATAACAAGCCCCCGATGTGTGGTAGCAAACACCCCAATGTTTCTTTCCACAAGTAGCGCAGGTTGGTGCCGAATTGCCACCTTGGCTTCAACCAGTATTACTGGAACTCCCAGATTTTAACTTCTTATTTGTTGACGTTGCTCCATTATAAAAATTCTATATTCTGCCCATCCACTCAAACTTCTGTTTGCGATTAGCCACATTACCTTCTGCTACCAGTGCCCTATCAAGTACATCTATATATGTTGGTAATTTGAGTACATTGATTTTATCAAGGATTGGGTCATGCAAGCCTCCCTCAGATTGTCTAGTTTTCTTGTAGCCTGTATCTACCATGTGGGGTGTAAAGGGAGCCAAATTTGTAAACTGGGCTTCATACTCAGCAACTAATTTGTTTTCGTACTTGAGTTCCATGAATTCAGACACCTTCCTGTCCCACACACATTGTGGGAAGTGCTTCTCATAGAAGATTTCTAAAAAGTGAGCCCAAGTAAACTCCTTATTTTCATCACGCACTAACATCCACCAACGCCTAGCATCATCTTCGAAGGTGAATGCAACTAGTTGTACTTTGTCAGCTTCAGTACATGGAGATACTTCAAACAATTTTTCAATCCCTAAAACCCAAGCTTCGGCTTTTAATGGTTCAATTCCACCATGAAACATTGGTGGCTTCATCATTTTAAATTCTCTAGTCAAAGCAATAGTACAGGTCTCCGGCTAACACCCTGGAGCTGGAGGTGGTATAGGCATCGGGCGTAGGGGTGGTGGCTATTGCTATTGTTCCACTGTTGTTGTCTTATAGCTTCATCCATGTCCTGCATCATTCGTTCAAATCTATCCAGTCTTGAGGAGGTTACTTCCTCTAGCTCATCACCCCTTGTCTTCACCATTTTCTATATGAAGCTTGTGTAATGATAAACGCAACAAATAAAATGTTTATACATGTACAAATTCAAATATGTAATCATACAAATTGTCTCATTCTAGTATTTAAATGCACATGAATACAGTCCTGAAGTCTCTTCTAGACTCTCTATAGCTCAATAGACAAGCGAGTGAGATATAACTCGTGCTCTAAAACCACTATGTCATGACCCAAACCCACCCCTATAGGTTTAGCGTCATGACTAGCCAATAATCGTCAATTACCTATGGCCTCCATACAAATAAACTTCTTAATATAAGGTACGAGGTTTAGCGAAAGTCTAAAATGACAAAGAAATTATCCATTGAGCCATGCGTACATGAAAAGAACTAGTATAATACACAAAAATTCATTCCAAAAGTACATTCATCACAATTGTATAAATTCTTGCCTTGCAATATACAAACCCCAATTGCACACAAATAACAAAACCATTGAACAAACAAAAAGAAGGGGGTTCAACTAACATGGCTCCACCTAAGCTTCATTACTTCAGTTGGAAACTCCTCAAAAGGCTGACCCGGGGTAGACTCGAGACTTTCTTAACTCTGATATTCAGCTTGCCCACCTACATATATATAAATAAGCAGTGAGCTAGGGCCCAGTGAGTAATAACAGAATAAAGAGGTTATATGAATGAAGTTCAATAACATAGGTCAATCAAATATCAATAATCATCTCTCATTAATTAATATATTTCATCATTGATATTTTTCAATATTAAATTGAGTGGCACATCCAAGAAGCAATCATATTTCAATAACTATGGACCACGAAGGGTCAAGCCAATGGACCACGAAGGGTCAAACCAATGGACCACAAAGGGTCAAACCAATGGATCACGAAGGGTCAAACCAATGGACCATAGAGGGTCAAAACAATGGACCATGAAGGGTCAAACACTAGAGATCTCTGTGTTTCAATCAGTCCAATAGCCATGGTATTGTTGCCCCCGCGCAAGGGTCTATGCTTAATGGATGCCACATTACAGTTTCATAAGTAAACTTCATTCATCGAAGGAAAGTGATATTATAATTAATCAATCAATCAAACACGTAACAATTTGGGAAACAATAATCATTCGAAAATAAATATACTTTGAACTTATCTTTATAAGGTTAATACTCATAGTGGTTTGTGTTGTCACTAAGCCTCGAACGTCCACCTAAACAAAACACATGACAGAAGCACAATTGAGGTACCAATTCATATGTTCATATTGCAATTATTAATAATCTTAAAAGTTACTATGTGAAGCAAACACATATATACTGTGTCACTCAATTTGGAGCAATTAGATTTCAAGTATTTTTTAAAATGTTTTGAACAGTGTAATTATGAAAATCAATTTTATTCCAAATTAAACGACACAACCTTCATCCACTGGCATGCATAGAGTTATATCAAATAAGTAAATAGAAGCATGGTTAGATGCTAAACATAGTTAGAAAAACACACACAAATGGGATGCTAAAGAACAAAAACTTACATATTTACTAACGTCCCACTAATTGGCACAAAACAAAGTTAGTGAAAACATGCATGATCCTATATATAAGATCTTAATGTAATTCACTCATGAAATGCAACTACTGATCTGACTTCTAATATTTGACATTTGAATCATCTCAAAACATAAGGTAGCACATAAAATCACATAATAATCGATTAAACTCACAGATGCAAATTTGGCCGGATCTTAAGGCATAAAGCTTGGATGCAAAACATGGATATGATGACAAGTATGATATACTACATATTTACAGATTGCAGATAGCAAATGAAAGAATGGGATAGAAAGAAGTGGGGATGGGAAATTATTACATCTCTTTGAATATTACAAATCCGAATAGATAAGGAAGAGAAAAAATATTACGACAAAATTAAATTCTCTCAAACACTCTAATTAAAAGAAAAATAATAAAAATAGAAGCTGCAAGGGGCCTCAAAGACTATCGAAGATTGTTCTTCTTGACACTAAGAGGCAGTTGGGTTCTGTCCCGAAGAAACTAGATGGCCGGCCAAAAAGTTGGCCGACTGGCCAATCAGGCCAGGCCGAAAACTTTGTTTTGTTCAAGCACCAAAAAAACAAACGGAAAATATGCAAGTGGCTCAACTAACCACTTCCAGTTAGCTTACACCAAGTTTACAACATGAAATTGAAGCAAGAAAGGTAATATGAGAAAGAAAATGTAAGAAAGTAAAAGAAGCATGAGAAGTGTGCAAGATTTACCTTCTAATGAAGGATTTGATATCTAAACTTCTTTTGATCACCCTCAAGTTTAAGAAGTGTGTTCTCAATTCTTAGCTTGAAAATTTGAAATTCTAGTTACAATGTGGTGTTTTTGGGCTATTTAACAGTGTGTATAGGGGACAGAGTTATAACTCTATGTTTTTCTTCCTTTCAACAACACTCAATCTCTTTTGATCAAACCTACTAGAATTTGGCTATCACAGAATTTTTGGGCTTGGTTTGATATATTGGTGTAGATTCGACTTTCTTCGCGCCACCCCCTTTCGGAGATAGCTCGAATAGGTCTTACAGTTCAGACTCCTGTCACGGTTCTGAATCTAATCTCACAAAGTGCAGTGTGAGACTGATAAACATCAAAGAGTCCAAATCTAGCAAATCGTTTTGAAAAATCAACTTTGAATCAAAAAGTGCCAAAAATGGACTGCTTTTCCAGATTACAGAGTCGACACCTAAATATTTTATTTTTGAAAAATTTAGGACACCCTGACTCGTGCCAAAGGCCACGTGTCTGTCATCACCAAAGTTGCCTTGGCTCAGGAACTTTGGTACGAGAGGGGAAGGCCCTGAAAAGAGCACCTCCGCTTGCCCAATCAAAGATCGGCCTCTACTGCCATGATATGTTGTTACATAAACACATGTGTTCTTATTCTGATTATTAGCCAACTTTACTATGTGACACGCACAACATACAAGTATAGACTAAAATCTCAAGAATTGGAACAAAACAACCCATGTATGTTTTTTAAAATGGTTTGAAAATGCCACCCTCAAGTGGGCTAAAGCGCGAATTTGCCACCCTCAAGTGGGCCTTAAACACATGATGATTTGCCACTTCGCAAAGTAGACTTAAAACTCACATTTGATGAATTGTCCCAATTCAAGCAACGAAGCCTTCATCTATAGGTATTCATGCAGTTTAGCACTTAAGTAAATAGCCTCATGGCAAGCATGCTATCATGGCAACACTCATACTCATGCAAGTATGCTAAAGCGTAAAGACTTACAGTGTACTCCGAGCCAAAACAAAAGCTAGTTAGAAATATGAATGATCCCTAACTATACAAGCAATGCCTAATGCAACGCATGCAATAATGTAATTAAATAGGCTCGGCTATCTAAGATGGCATATGAATGCAACAATTTGATAACATGCTTTGAAACACATATTCAAATAGGTATTGAAGTACGATGCAGTTTGAATGATGTGCCGAGCTTGGTGCATGCAAGACAAAATGAATGATGTAAACATGCAAAGCATAAGGTATGCTAATCAAAACGTGCCCTAAAACTAACCATTGAAAGCAGTTAAATAAAAGGAAGAAAGACATGGGGTTGGAAGACATGCACGCACACACGCACGCTTATTATAACATTGTACCCTCTCGGAGGAGGGTCCCAATAAATAAGCTAAGCTACACTGAGCTAAGCAACTTATTACAAACCAACTAATTAACTAACTTAGCTGATTAATTCTTATTACCCAATTGAAATTGAATAACTAGCTAATCTAAGCTAATTAATTACAAACCAAATTAATCAAACACTTAACTAATTAATTACAAAACGACTAAGCTAATGAACTAAATAGCTAAGCAATTCAAATGAATGGCCTCGGGAAGCGAGGGGGATATGCATGCTCGATTGGCTTCGCCTAAAAAATTCATCGCCTTGCCATCGGTTGTCTCTGTTTACACTCGCCTCTGTTTTTTGAACATTGCACCAACTTCAGACTGGCTCTGCCTAAAAATAGGATCATTTCTGCACAAAAATGGACTAGTGGTCGGTTAGCCACAAAAAGTGGTTGCCAGCCACCTTAACTGGCCTGCCCGCTAGTGAAAGTTGTCGGTCGGCTACCTCAAGTGGCCGGTCAGCTACCTCATTTCCCGAAATGCTGGTTTTGCTACAACAGAGAACAACAGAGCCAAGACAATGCATTTTGCAGGTAATGTATGTCCTGCCACCCTTCTTATCATTTCTTAAGCTCAAAGGAGAGTGGCGCTCGATTCTGAAGCCACCAACCAAGCATCTTAATGCATGATGGCCCAAAAACTAAGCTTGTACAAGCTTAGTGAATGCACAAACAATACGTAAAGTGCCTCCACCCTATCATGCATGATCAAGGGTGTCGGCGACCAAGAAATGTGATACGTTTCATCATTTTGAGTATGAAACGTCCCACATTTCTTGTGTTTTGATTAACGTCCGATCCAAACACATGCAATGCAATACAAATGCTTATCTTAGTCATGTTTTACTTGATTCAATTTTGTTTACACATTTTACATTACCGATTAATCCTTTAATTGATTAAGTCCAACGTAAAAGTCCTCTAATGAGAGAGGAGTTAACCAAATGAATGGTTTAGGACGTGAGAGAGATCATGCCTTTGGCTAGAAGGAATCCTCATAAGAGGATTAAAGCCATTTGAGCACAAACTCTATCAAGCTTAAACACAAGCATAAGGTAAACCAACACTCAAAACAAATCAAAAGTGAAGAA